AGATTTTTAAATTAAATTTTATAAAAATAAATATTAATCTATTTTTAAATATTTAATAATTTTAAAAATTAATATTAAATAATATTTAATAATTAAAAAATATATTTTTTAATATTAAATAATTAAAAAATAGAAGAGAGATAAAAGATATATTGATGAGATAAAAAAGAAAAATATTTAAAAAAAAAATTAAATTCTTACTTTTTGAATAAAATTTTTACTATCTTTAAAGATTTCATAAATACTTAAATTTCAAATTCTTTATAAATTTTTTATTCAATCAAAATATTTCAAGATATTTGAAATTCTTTAAAAAAAATAAATTATTTTATTTAATTTTTTTATCCAAACACAACTGAAATAATGCAATTCATGTTTTTTGTGCATTTGGTAGTACTGGATGTGTGAGAAAGATCTAGGGATAGATTTGTACCCTTTTCTGAAGCAGATATTCTCGCTTAATCTTCCACTCTTCTTCAGCTAATTACCACAAGAAAAATGAAAAGGGACCAGTTAATAACTTAAAATTCATGTATCATGTGTTTTAAGTTCTGTTAAGTTATAAGTGAAAAGAACTGAGAACAGTACCTGGAGATTTTGCTGGTTTTGTTGCTGCACTCTTGACTTTTAGTTTCAGCCCTCTTTTGCTGTGTGTGTGTAATCTTTGACCAGAGGCATTCTGTGATCTCACTCGCACCCACCACGAATTGTGACCATGTGCACCTTCAAAAGAAGGTGCCAAGAGCGAGGAATGCAAATGGGTTTGTAAAGAGGATGAAGATGCAAACACAGCCATTCTTCAGTGCCTTCAGCAATTTTTTTTTTTTTTTTGTTTGGTATTTCGAAATTTACAAGTAATGGTGTATGGTTAAATTGGTGGAAGTGAAAGTGCTTGGAATGAAGCCAAATGGACGCTTAACTTGAGTTACTTGTCTAATGAAAATTTTGAAACGTTTATGGGAAATGTTTTATGTCCTGTGTTAGGGGTTGGTGTAGATATTTAGGACTCAGAATCTGAATTTGTGGTCTATGTTTTTAGGAGTGGTTTCCTATTTGGATATCCTTTCCATGTCACGTCTTTTTCTTTGTCTTCTTCGGTTCACTCTTCTGCTAGCTTTTCTCCACGTTCAATAGTAGTGTGCCAAATCAACACTTGTAGCATGCCACATCCCTATCAAAATTCTCAAGAGTCACGTTTGTTCTTTCTCAACTGTACACGATTGTTAATGATAATTCTTTTTTTTCCTTAAGAGGTTATTTTTTTTTTATTAATAATGATATTGACTTAAATATTCGAAATTTTATCAACTTTTTTAAGACTTTGATTGCATTAAAGATATCTTAATTTTTTTTTATCAAATTTAAGACTTAAAATTTTAAGATTTGAAATTATGGTAATTAACATTGATTAGATTAATTAAAAAGTTATAACAATTAGCCTCTATTTTTTTTCTTCAAATAACTCAAAGAAACACGCACTATCTAGAACCATATGGGTCTCACCCTTACTTTGTTTGCATTACTTTGGTTTGCAGAATATTTTCCTTAATTGGTGATACATGTTTCCTCTATTAATTAGACAAATATATCCGATCCAACGGTTGTAGCTTGTAAGACTGTCAAAAGTCTTTGATAAGAATAACTTTAATATGTTTTTAGTTCTTGAATTTGTATTTTTTTTTTATTTCTTAAATTTAAAATTAATATTTTTAATTTATGTAATTTAAAATTTAAAAAAAAACTTATCATAGATAATCAACATATATGCAGCGAGTTAAAATGTATGTAAAGTTTAACTAACTTCATCTTGTTTGATGATGTCACTCTTAAAATATTTTTCATTTAATTAACTAGGGTTTTATTTATGATAAATTTTTATTTTTATTTTTTTATATCAAGTTCTAACGAAAGATATTTTAAGGTAAAAAAATTAAGAAAATTACACGATATTAAATAATTTTTAATTATAGTAAATCATATTTTATTTCTTATAATTTAATTCGGGGGAGTATGTGAAATAATATATTTTATAAAAGATTAACCACTCAAATACTTCATAACGCATGATCAATTTATACGAGAATATTTCAACTTAATTGAGTTCTCTTGTCGATTAATTTTAGAGTAAACCATTATTTGGTCGTAAAAGTATATCTGGCTAACACATCAGTTATTGAAAATAAATTCTGAATAAGTGTTTAAAAATTTTAATTGTTTCGCTTAAGTTTTTAAAAGTATTTATTTTTTTATTATTTTAGTCTTTAAATATGTAACAATATTGTCATTTAAGTTGCATATTTTTAATTTTTTTTTTTAGTTTTAAGCTAAAATGAATAACATTTTACATTTGTAGATATTCTTTTGGTTTTTTTATACTTTGAAATTCAAAATGTGAGCAACATATACTTTAAGAAACCTAAATATTCTTTTACCCTTAACTTTTCTAAAAAATAAGTCTTTTGATTGTTCTGTTGTGTTCCATGTTGGATGTAATGTGTGAATATGTAATTAATTTTGAGAATAAATATGTTTGATATGAATTATAGTGCTCTGTGGGTTCCTGAGAGAACCCTATGACAAACAGACAAAATATGAATATTTTTTGTTTTGCTTTCTGAATGCTCTGTTGCATTCCTTGTGTGGTGTAAATATGTATTTGATTTCAAAATTAGATATGTTTTGATATGAATTAGAGTGCTCTGTGGGTTCCTGTACGGAACCCTATGAGGAACAATTACGAATATGACTATGTAAAATATGAACAAATGACATGAGACATGATGTGAATGAGAATGTGAAATGTGATGAAATGAGATAAGCTATGATTATGAGAATGTGAAATTTGATGAAACGAGATAAGCTATGACTATGAGAATGTGAAATGTGATGATATGAGACATGAAATTCCATGACAAGTGAAATGTTGAGTTAATGAAATAGTGAATGTGTGACATGCATCATGTGCATATATGATCTATTCCAGGTGTTCCGCTTAGGCCGCACACCAATGATGTAACCAGCTAACAAGGTGTACCTTAGGGTCACTAGTGATGTAACCAGCTAACAAGGTGTACCTTAGGGTCACCAGTGATGTAACAAGCTATGTGATGAAATGACTTATTCCAGGTGTTTCGCTTAGGCCGCATACCAATGATGTAACAAGCTAACAAGGTGTACCTTAGGGTCACTAGTGATGTAACCAGCTAATAAGGTGTACCTTAGGGTCACCAGTGATGTAACCAACTAACAAGGTGTACCTTAGGGTCACCAATGATGTAACAAGCTATGTGATGAAATGATGAGAAATGTGAAACTTTCGTATGGCGCCACATGCATGCATTTATGAGTCGAGTCCATGACATCATTGCATGATAAATGAATATGCATGTGATATTGATTGTGTATGTGTATTGTTTACATGTGACTTATGTTTGTTGTGTGTGTGCTATCTAACCTTTATTTCTGCACCTGGAACCGAGTGAGATATTTCTCACTCCCTTGTTTATCTTTGTATGTGTTTAAATTGTGTTGCAAGTGATCATCAACATGAGGATGTTGGTGATGAGGCTTAGGCTTCAGTTGGGCATGCTCTGATAGGATATGTGACATCGGGGTTTAGCTAGGTTTAGCATTGGAGTTTCATTACTGTTATTGTGTTTTGGAAAGATTGATGTTTTATTTTGTCATCATTTCTGCATTGGACTACGATTTGCAAAATATGAATGTGAACTTTCTATCTATGTGTTTTGAAACCTTATTTTTAAGAAAGTTTTATTTACTCAAGAATGTACTTTATATTTATTGTGTATTATGTATGTGGGGTAGAGGGTGTCACAATGCCACAAAACCAACTATAGGCATTGTTCCAATTAATCCTAAAGTAACATCAGAATTTGTATCAGAGATTTTTCATATTCATCAAGTTGTATTTTAATCACAATATCTCGACCATATGATTCATCAGCTAAGCATCATATCATCAGCAAGAATCACAAATATGCATTACATTTGCACACATCAACATACAAACCAGAATATTGAAACCAAATCAAAGTTTCCATTTGCAAATCATCCCAAACACAATATTATCACAGTGAAATTCATATTCCATCAGAATTTAAATTGTTCAAAACAAAATAAACCAAGATAATTGTTCAGGAATTAAAGTGATTACAACCCAATTAAAAAAAACCATAAATTTAAACTAAACTTCTAAAAACAAAACAGAACACTAAAGCTCTAGAATCACTCCGAGTCTTTTGGCATCCCAAGCTGAGCCTTAATTTGGTTAATCTCATAACCAAGGTTATCAAACCAATCATAAGAGATATAATTGGTTGTCAGTGTAAAAAAAATTTACACTGGCAGTGTATAGATGATTAACTCATATATTAATTATATGAGGAGAGATCCATTTACTCTAAGAGTAAGTCTACCTAAACTTACTCCATTCAATAACTCATATTTTACATCAAATTTCAACAATCCAACAGTTGAATTTAAAATTTTTAATGCATAGATCAAATCTGTAAACTTTTAAAAAAATTAAAAATTATTTGATATTTTATTTCATTAATTAAAATTAACGGATAATCATAAAATCATTTTATATATTGAAATTTGATGTAGAATATGAGATATTGAACAGAGTCAGTTTAGATAGACTTACTCATAGAGTAACAAATTCCTCCTCTAAATATATATATATATATATATATGTGTGTGTGTGTGTGTGTGTGTGTGTGTGTATGTATGTGTGTGTGTGTCTGTAAAGTTTTAAAAATTTTGAAAATCATTTGATAGTTTGCTTCATTAATCAAATTGATGGATAATCATAAAAATATTCTATACGTTAATTTTAATTAATGAAACAAAATATCAAACATTTTTCAATTTTTTTAAAAATTTGCAAATTTAATCTATATTTTATATAAAAACTTTAATATATAAACACCAATCATAACTATATTTTTTATTTTTTATTTCATCCTGTCTCTTGCTATCTAATAACATTAGAAATTATTATATGATATAAAATTACGGTATGTCATAGTCTTGATCAATATTCAGGTAATACAAATCAATTGTTTTAATTAAAAAAAATAAAGTAATACATAATCAATTGTTTTTAGTTACAAAAAATAACAAAGTTTGGCTACATGTTACATTGTCTGACCGAGACCATAGACATGTAATGGTTACAAAATATACAATAATTTATCTTGAAACATAAAGTGTTTATGCTTATTTTCCTTAATTTTTTACTCAAATGATACATAAATTTAACACGTTTTTCGAGCAACCAGTTTTCTTGCAGTGATGCTCTAATTGGTCTCAACCTAATGCTCGAATAAAGATAAAAGTAATGAGAAGAAAATAAAGTAGGACCGAAAGAAATGGAAGAGAAGAAAAAATGAGTAGAAAATAATCAATGATAGATTTGGAACCTCACTAAGTCAACTCTAAAAGATAAGGTTCTAAAATTCATACTTTAATGATAAATCAAAATTAAATATATTTAATATAAAATATCGTATCTCTCCATAAAAAAATGTGTAAGTTTTTACCACTACAAGAAAAATGACTTATACCTACACACAAAAAATATCACTAAAAGTCTAAATTCTATAGGTAAAGGTATCATGGACTTTGACCTATTGACATTGAAGTTGTCAACTTTGAGGGGGCATATATAGCTACAACTAATAGCTTATCACTATAAGTTTTACCTACAGAGATAATTTTACCTACAACTACATTTGACTGTCATTATACGTGCTACCTACAATTTGCAATATGCGTGAGTAAAAGTCATTGACTTTTATTTACACTCCCTACTATAGGTAAACACCATTAAGTTGTACTTACATGTTATGACTGTAGGTAAAAGTCATTAACTTATTCTTACATACTCTGACTATAGGTAAAAGTTGGTCTTCATCATGAGATGGAAC